GCTGCAGGCCTTCGATGGCGCAGCAGGCTAAGGACCGGGCCGCCGCCGCCGCCGCTCTTGGGACGGGGGGGGGGACTCCTGTGTTTACCCTCTCGGGTTGCAAAGACCCCTGGCCTCACAGGGTGTAGCCAAGCCATGTGGTTTCTCTGGCGTCTGGTCGGTTTCGTTGCTGGCCCAACCCCTGTTCCGATGGGCGTGCAAGCCAGCAAGGAATCGAAAGAGCTTTCAGCTCGTTGCCGCGGCCGCCGGGCTCCTGGGCTGGAAACCCTGGCGAGCTGTCTCTACTGAACGCCCCTGGGCCTGATCATTAGATTGCAGCGGACCTCCTTCCAACTCTGGTTTGCAAACTCGGAGATGCACAAAATTGTCCGATGGAGCGTGGCTTTCTCCCAAGTAAGTGCGCGTGGGATTGAATCTGTAATCAGGACTCTGTAAATATAGTAGTGTAGTATATAAATATTTAGTACCACCAAAAGGCCTACGGTTCGGGGTAGCCGGCCTTGTTTTAAGATTTTGCACATTTGATCTTTGACTCTGGGTATTTTAGAGAGCGGTTGTATTAGACTAGACAGAAGGTGGGCTGAGGCTTACCTTCATATGTTCACTCCTGCCTCCACCCGCTACAGTATATGGGGGAGTTCATATCCTGCAGAATACATTGAGGGGAGAGACCTCACTTTTGTGCATGATTTCCTCTCTCTGTTAACCTGTGTCTTTCTGGAATACCCATGGGTTTTGTTATATTCATAATGGGCTTTTCTGGGCATCCTGTTCTGAACTTTGGCACAGTTCTGGATATTTTTAATTTATGCAACAGAATTTGTAGAATAGTTCCCATAAAAATAATACTTAGGTAGTATACAGTAAGAAAATAAGAATGTACTCGAACGATAAAGCAGCATAATATCTGAAGAGTCAATCCTAAAGAGAAAAACCAAGAGAGAGCCTGAGGAACGAGTGATTCTGATCCACCAATTGTAGTTCAGGGGTCTTGAGTGCTAATAGATGGTTTTTCTCTCCTCAGGACTGCTATGGTGAGAATAAGTCACTGCTAGTAAATCCTTGTGTTTTTGCAGTAAAAGTAATCCCTGAGCACGCATACACAGAAGCGGCATGTGGGCTAGCTACGATGCCACAACTTCAGGATACAGTATTTACGGATCAGTCAGCACATACTGTATAATGAAGTTCAAGGGTGCTGCTTCCTCTCCCTCCTCCATCTCTCATTCTCATCCACGTAGGATATGCATGGAAGGAGGAAAAACAACAGTGTCCTTAACAACCTTTCCCCCTCACTTTACCAGCACCCCAGGCCCTTGGAGTTTGATATACGTTACCTATTTTAAGCATGCAAGGGGGGGAGAGTTAGTAATTTTAAGAATAATAAATATAGTTCAAAAATCACTCCTTCCCTTTTCCTCCATTGGCAAGAGAATGATAGCTGCCCAAGGGCTTTTGCGTGTATATGTGTGAGGACACACAAATACACCATTTATTGTAAATATAAATAAACATTTGGGTAGTATAAAAATGTTTCACTTGCGGGTGTTTATTCTGTTCCTTGCTGAGCACTGTACTTGAACGAAGAATAGGTGTTTGCAGGAAATGGGAGGAATATATGCTTGGTTTCTGCCAACTACTGTGAAATACCATAGACTCATCCAAAAAACACAGGGTTCACTCTGCTAATGTCCTATTTCAGCAAAACACAATTTAAATTCTGCAGTCAGAGTTTTCAGCAAAATGCCCACTAGTGACGAAATACAGCAGACTGTTAGTTTATACTAAATTTAGGACATTGGTTCTGATGTTCAGCACATTTGGGTGAGTTCTGACACTGCATGTCGGTAAGGATGGCATCTGTTCCCAGATGCTGGCTGTTCCTACACAAACTGGCATAACTCAAAAAAGAGTGTCTAGCTGTGGTGGGTGGGATATAAGAAGACACAGCAGGAGGATTACTTTTCTGACACTTTGTGACCTGTTAAGTTGTCTGAAAATTGGGGTGTGCATGTGCTGTGAGACATGTGTGCATATGTACACACCTGCGTAATAGGACAGTTCTCTATGGGTTGCTCTTTTGTTCAAGCAATTTTCACAGAGCTATATTAGTCTGTTTCAGTATTCTTGAAGATTGACAGATTTATTTCAGTGTGAGGTTTCATGGATTGTAATCCAGGAAAGCTCATGGTGAAATAAATGTGTTAAATTTGTCGTAAAGATGCCACAGCATCTATTTTTATTGTACTGTCATCCTAGCTGCTGTATATTTACAGTTCACGAGTAGTTTCCATGTTACTTCTCCCAGAGAAATGAATGGTGAGGTCTGGCCTTTTCTCTTTTTCACAACCTTTTTTTATTATGGGCATTATTTACTAAGGCTGCTATTCTGCCTCTCATTCCTGCCACCTTCTGAAAGCTTGAGGTCTTACTTTTGCTGTTGCACAAATAGACACAGTACAGTGGCAATTATGGGGTGAAAATTGTGGTTTTCTAACTCCTCATTCCTGGGGTTGGACTAGATTTTTGACAGAACACACCTAGACTTGGAGTATGTGTCCTAGGGAGAAAATTTGAGTAGAATACCAACAATACATGTTTCTTTGAAAGATGATTGAAAATAACAGCTCACTTTCCTTTGTGAGTTAGTTCTGAGTTTCTTAGAGATCCAGACAGAATTGGTTTTGGAAAATTAGTCTGTTTTCTACAGACAGCCTGATTTTTAATGTGGCTGTTGACAGTTTGCTTTGTTGTTTATATAATGGACTGTTTTTTAATTTCTTCCCCCTCTTACCATAAGTTGTTCCCAACAGTGACATTTGTGTTCCTGCATTTCGAATAGCAGGGGTATTTCCAAAGAGAGAGAAAGATAGAAAAATGTTTTAAAGCTGAGCCTTTGATTTAGCCAAAGTTTTGGTTGAAGTGGTACCCCCCCCCAATAAAGACATTCAGGTCACAGCTTAGCCGCCTCACTCAACACATGGATGCAGTGGTGAAAATCCTCTTGTGCAAGTTTACATTTTATAAGCTTGATGATGCCATCATATGGCAATGGGAATATTTAAATTAATTGAAGGCTTCGTATCCCTCCACCCTTTCAAGTCCTAAGGCTCCCCAGGTCTCCCTTTTGCCCTGGGGAAGCCTTTGGTAGCCTTGATGGGGGGAGCTTTCAATAGCCAAATATGCATTGGGACGAAGCCTTTAATAGGCAAAATTGCCACTGGATTGCCAATTCCAGGATCAGGATAGTTGCCAGCGATCCAGTAGTGATTTTTGGCTAGTAAAATCTTCCACTCCTCATCCCAAAGAGCCTCAGAATCTACCAGAGTACGATAGAAAGCTTTCAATTAATTTAAATTAAATACCGTATTTTCATCACTGGGTGACATTGTCTTGCTAAGGTAAAGGTTCCCCTTGACATTTAGTCCAGTCGTGTTCGACTCTAGGGCGTGGTGCTCATCCCCGTTTCCAAGCTATAGAGCCAATGTTTGTCCGAAGACAGTTTCCGTGGGGACGTGGCCAGCTTGATTAGACATGGAACGCCATTACCTTCCCACCAAAGTGGTACCTGTTTATCTACTTGCATTTGCATGCTTTAGAACCCCTAGGTTGGCAGGAGCTGGGACAAGCGACAGAAGCTCACTCCATTGTGTGGATTTGATCTTACGACTGCTGGTCTTCTAACCTTGCACCACAGAGGCTTCTGTGATTTAACCCGCAGTGCCACCACGTCCCTGTTAGTCAGGTATAATCTAAACCAAATCCCTTATGAATACACAGTGGAAACGAAGAACAGATTTAAGGAACTAGATTTGGTGGACAGAGTTCCTGAAGCACTATGGATGGAGGCTCGTAACATTGTACAGGAGGCAGCAACAAAAAAACATCCCAAAGAAAAGGAATTGCAAGAAAACAAAGTAGCTAACAAACGAGGCCTTACAAATAGCAGAGAAGAGAAGGGAAACAAGATGCAAGGGAGATAAGGAAAAGTACAGAAAATTGAATACACAGTGTTAAAGTATGCCAACAGGATTCCAAATATTCATGCACCCTTTCTATACCTTAACTTCTACCCCAGGTAAACACAAAAGGAGAGCTCAAGTCTTTGATTCCTTGAACAGAGGGATAAAATCCTTCTGCTTACCTAGGGCTAAGCCCATTAAACATAGTGAGACTTCATCTTCTGATCAGTTTGTCTGGATTAGTAAATGAATTAATGTGTTTGAGCCTTTTTAGTATTTGAATACTTATTGTTTTTAGCTTTAAAATTGTCTTTCAATGATGTACACTTGTATACTTATTGTTTTTAGCTTTAAAATGGTCTTTCAATGATGTACGTCACCTTGGAGCTTTTTAAGGAGAAAGGCAGGGTAAAATATTTTAAACAAACATACTTCATGTAATTGGATTGGTCTGTACTGTAAATCTGTTACTTGGACATGTTTTGTAATGTTAATATTATCAAAGATGCTGTTTCAATTCAGCTCATCAGCACCTGGGAGAAAGTGCTATATAGGGAGGATAATGGCAAACTAGATTATGCTGTTGTGTTTATGTTAGGAAGAAGTCAAAGCTGAACTGGTGTGCCCATGTGTTGAATGAAGGAGGTTGATCTGTGACCTAAATTCATTTGGTTTCAGGGGTATAGCTTCAGCTATAACTTCTTGCTCTAAACCAAAATACCTTTTTCCTCTTTCAGAATAGAAAAATGACCTTGGGATACGTCACACATGGCCCAAATAATACCTGTGAGTCATCAGAGCAGTTGTATGACACATGCAGACTCTTGCTAGAATCCTGATAATTCTGATTTCCATGTGTGAAGACAGAATTTAAGATAGATAGTTCTCCTGACATTGTTGACAGCATAGTTTTGTTGGCATACCTGGTGGCAAGAGTTCATAGTTGTTGCAGTTTAGCATCTGGAAGGCCATACATTCTCTATCCATATTCTAAGATGCTATTCAGGATCATAGTGAGAAAGATGAGTTTGGGCATTTTATGGTGAAAGTCTTTAAATGAGTTCAAACAAAAAGGCAGGAAGAGGGACAATAGAGCTAAAAATAAGAAGAGGCTCAAATCTTGTTTTTGAAATTTTTTGACTTCAAAGATGGGCAACTAGGAAGTGTGTGCTTGCCAGATTCTTGCAGAAGGCAGTTTGTAATTGGTGGAAGGTCTTATAGTGGTAAATAATTTTTTAAAACTGCCATGCTGCAGGTGAGGTGTAGATTTCTCATCTCATGGGTTTAATTGATATACAGTGGTGCCTTGCGAAACGATTACCTCGTTAAACGATGAATCCGCTTTACGATGAGGTGTGTAGATAGGGAAATTTCGCTTGATGATTATTGGTTCCCTGCTTCGGGAACCGATTTTTCGCTAGACGATGATTC